GCCCCGTCCACTCCTGGGCCCCTTGTCTCCATGGGAGGGGCACAGCAGTGCGGAGCCGGGGTCCGCACCCGGCGGGCAGCCAGCAGTCAGCATCCCGCTCCATGGCAGGCACAAGGCTCACACTGCAGAGCATCGGCCAGCACAGCTGGGGGCCTCCTGCAGGCGCACAGGTGGAGGTCGCGGCCCGACACACAGGTCCTTGATGCTAACTCACCGCCGCTGCGGCCCGCTGCAGCCCTCAGACCCTTAAAGGCAGGTGGTCAGTGTCGCCGAGGGAGCCTTTTAAATACAGGTTTCCACCTGGCCGGCGTGGCTCCGTGGTTGAGCATCGACCTAGGAACCAGGAGGTCATGGTTGGATTCCTGGTCAGGGCACATGCCCGGGTTGTGGGCTCCATTACCAGTGTGGGGCGTGGAGGAGGCAGCTGATCCATGATTCTCTTTCATCACTGATGTTTCTCTCTCTTCCTCTCTGACGTCAATAAAAATATATTAAAAAAATAAAACTGAAATACAGATTCTGGGCCTCCCACTCAGACACTGACTTAGCCGATCTTGGACCATGGCCCAGGGATCTTAATGTGGGGGCTGAGCTTGCAGGGACGGGGAGCCCCAGGAGGCCCAGCCTCCGGCCTCGGGGTGACACATTTGAGGCTGGAGCCCAGGCCGTCCCCACGAATTGCTGGTCAATGGAAGCCATGGGGCTGGAGGCTGGAGCTCACCCCCCAGGCTGGTGGGCTGTGAGGGAGGGGACCTCAGGCTTGTTTGAACTGCCAGCTCTCCCCCTTCCCACGGCCCGTGAGGCAGCAGGGACAGAGCCAGGGGACCTGAGGGTCTGGGAGGGCCAGGGCCAGTGGACCTGAGGGTCTGGGAGGGCCAGGGCCAGGGGACCTGAGGGTCTGGGAGGGCCAGGGGACCTGAGGGTCTGGGCAGGGCCAGGGGACCCGAGGGTCTGGGCAGGGCCAGGGGGGGTCTGGGCAGGGACAGGGCCAGGGGACCCGAGGGTCTGGGCAGGGCCAGGGGACCCGAGGGTCTGGGCAGGGCCAGGGGACCTGAGGGTCTGGGCAGGGCCAGAGCCAGGGGACCCGAGGGTCTGGGCGTGTTCATCGTCCCAGCGGCCTGTCCCCAGGCACTGAGCCAGGCTTCCTGCTCGGGGGACAGGCTGCCTCTTGGCTCCGCGGTTGGAGGCGGCTCTAGCCAGAACCAGGCTGGTGCCTGTGCAGGGGATGCCGAGTGTCAGGACAGGGGGGAGAGACCTTTGAACAGGAGAGAAGGAAAAAGGGCCCGTCGTTCTTCCGCAGTTTGCAGGTCATTTCCTCCAGTGCAGCCTGAAGGCAGCTCCGTTGTCCAGGTGTCGGCATGTGGACTAGAGCAGCGCGCGTGCGTGCATGCATGTGTACGCGCGTGTGCATACGCGTGTGCGTGCATGTGCGTGTGTGCATGTGTGTGGTGGGGGTCAGGGCTCAGGCTGGGCCTCACACCAGGTGGGCCTCACCCCCCGGCCTGCACTGTGCCCGGCAGCGGTGACTGCACACCCCTCCGGCGGGGACCTGAGCAGAGGGACCCAGAGCACAAGCTCAGCCTGGGAACAGGGTGGTGACCTTTCTCGGCCTCACGGAGCAGGTGGAGCGAGAGGAGAACCTGGAGAACCCGGCCTGCACTGTGCCCGGCAGCGGTGATGCACACCTGGTGTCCCGGGCCCTCCGGCGGGGATCTGAGCAGAGGGACCCAGAGCACAAGCTCAGCCTGGCAACAGGGTGGTGACCTTTCTCAGCTCACGGAGCAGGTGGAGCGAGAGGAGAACCTGGAGAAAACCCGAGACACGGGGCGCGCTGTCTGCACCCTCCGTCGCCGGGAGGGCGGTGGCAGTGTGCTGGGGGCCCTGCGGACTCCGTGCCTCAAAAAGTCGCTGTACGGAGTCGGTCAGACAGACGAATCCCCAGGACAGAAGTCAGAATTCCCAGTTCCCAGTGGGAAGCTTCCCATTTTCCATTTAGGTTTCATTCAAAGAGCAGGGAAAGGGAGGGGGCGGGGCCCACCGAGGCTCTGGGTCTCAGAGGGACCCTTTTCCTGTTCCCGTCATGGGGGAGGGCTAAGGGGGGGTTGGGGGGAGGAGCAGGGTGCCAAACCATGGCCTCATCAGTCGCATCAGCATCTGAGTTGAAAGCCTTCAGACAGGGCTAAAGGGGGAGCTGGGCGGAGGAGCAGGGTGCCAAACCATGGCCTCATCAGTCACCCCTGGGCTCAAGGGGACAGAGCTGTGAGCCAGGAGCCAGGCATTCCCCAGAGGCGAGGACGCCTCTCCCGCGGGAACTTCTGATCTGATCTCCAAGACTGAGCGGGGAGAAGGCAGGGAATCCTGTTCTCCTAAAGCTTCTGCATAACAGACCCCCCTTCCAAGCCAGGAAAACGAGGGACCGCAGGGCACCCCGTTCCCTCCCATCCACACCCCCTCCTGTCTGTGGCACCGTGAGGTCCGGGGTAATGAAACGCACTCCACAGGGATAGAGGCTGAGTTGGGTATTGTGCCTGGACGTTAAAACCCCATCGGCTCCGAAACCTCCCGTCCAGCCCCGTGCGTGGAGCCAGGGACGGGAGATGCTGAGGGCGCGACAGGGCTCCCCCCCTGGAACAAACCCC